TTTGTTTGTTTGTTTGTTTGTTTGTTTGTTTGTTTATTTGTTTATTTATTTATTTGTCATTAGGACATAGAACCTGTTCTTAATTTATTTGAATTCCACCACTGATGAGGGGGTACCATGCCAGGCATTTGAACAGTTTCGTAAAGCCTTGTTAGGCAATTACATCATCATGGTAGAGCCACAGTTGATCAAGTCAAACAGAGAGAGATTTAGGACAATTTAATAGTCAGACATGGTTTGGACTAGCCATAAAGGGTTGAGTCAGGAAAGTTGCTGATGAAGGGATGATTGGATTTAAATATAAACTAGTTAAGGCTTGGTTTTTAGAAAATTCACTTAGGGCTGGGATAGGAAAGAAGCCTGATAGGGCTTGACTAGGCAAGTAGCTGGATTTATTTACACTTCAGGAGGTTTGGTCAGCAAGGTTAACCTCTGTATTTTTCTCAGTGTGAAGACAAGACATCAGAAGAGTCTAGACATGCTTGCAAAAGTGTTAATAAAAATAGCACTTCTAGGGGTACTGACATTTTAGTGAGCACTTCAATTGTTAAAATTTTGTGTGGAATTCATGTTGATACATTAAATCTGTAAGCATATTACGAAATTGGTACTTATACTTAAATAGAGTAACCACTAATCTTCAACCCTCACTGAGTGTCTAAAAACAATTTTCTGTTTCAGTTCTAAATGCTGCCCTACTTTACATTTACAGCCAGGTCAGAAGTGCCACAAAGATTAAATGTCATCAACTCTGGTTTAAGTGTTACCCTGACAAAATTGTAAATTACTGTTATTTACCACATAAAACACAGGGAGTGTACATAAAATTTTGATCACTCTTGGACTTAGTGATATTATCAACCTCCCTTCTTCAGTTAAGCAGTGTCATAGCTACTACTGAGAAAGTTGATGATGTTAATTGTCTGTAAATACTGGCCCCTCCCAACAAGGTAGTAATTAGTTATATTTTTACTTTATCCACATAACCTATATAATAATTAAATTATTTTAAAAATATATGTCCAATATGTATACATATACGTAGAATACCAGGTTATGTAGTTTGATCTACTATATGAGCTGAATATACAATAGCTTTATGCAGGCATTTGACCTGTACAGGGGACAGCTAAAAACAATGGAGAAGGAATGCATGCAAATCTTACCCCCAAGATTTCCATTCCTTTGTACTCAGGTTTCTTGTACACTATGCACTTAGTATGTACTGAATAGTGATGCTTCCCAAGTGGCAAAATACACCTAGTTGTCGCAGGATGTGCACTTGTATTTTGCTTAATTACTGAAAAGTAAACAGAAGTTCATGTTATAAGCTTCATTGCTGTGGTATATGTCTTACAAAAATCCCATTGCTGGAGAGAAAAATGTGTGAATCACCAGAAAATAAGCATTTTCCTTTAATGCCCAACTTATGCAATGTGATTGTGTTCAAGATCATGCACACAAGCATTCCACACATCCAATATCCCTTTTAAAGACTGGAAGGTTGGAGGGGCAGAGACACCTTGGACATGGGGGGCAGAGCATGTGCACATGCCATGTCATCTCCCCCAATGATTAGTCCTCACATGAGTAGGCTAAACTCCCCACAGCACTGATGTGACATGTGCTCATTCTTCCACCTAGCATGCTGTATGTCGCTACTCAGCCCATATGGTCTTTTCTCTCACACACACTCAAATAATCTTGTAATAGCATTTAAAATGTTAGTGTGAAGTTACTCTGGAGACCACATAAAAATATGCTGAAATGTGTTTGTTTGCTTTAAGGACCACAGGCTCCAATCATCTTCAGCTCAAAGATAAATGCTCGCTTAAGGCAGATCAGAATTAATGCTTCCCTCCTCCATCTCTGCAGTGGCATGGTTTCGGTGAGATTATCTTTGGGATCTTTGCTCCTATCATGTATCTAATTGTGAAGAAGGTTAATGCATCATAAAGCAGTGTGCCCTTTTCATAATCATCTAATTAAAAGTGCACTACAAGAAGTATATAAAACTACAGTGTTTGCAGAATGTACTGATCTTACTGAATCCCACAGGCCACCTTGCACCTCGTAAAGGCCCATCTATTTTGCATACACCTATAATTCAGCCTCTGAGAGTCTGCTGTCTTTTTTAATTGGCAAAAAAGTTTAAACCACTTTTATCTTTCCTAAAATGCCACATTCATTATCAGTAGGAATTAACTATTCAGTTCAGAGTGAATATAGATTCCATCTATCTCTTTATACACCATGTAGGCTCACAGCCCCTCAGTAATAAAACAAAGTTCACCAAAGTAAGACAGATTTTTTTCCAGAAATCTTCTGAGGCCCAGTGGACATGGAAGTACGCTATTATAAGAGCAGTAGAAACAAAAGTAGCTAGAAAGAAAGAAAGGAGTAGATTTTAATATATCTTGTTCCTGTTTTCCTCAATCTGTCTGCTTCTTTCTTGTTCCTGTTTTCCTCAATCTGTCTGCTTCTATCACCTTCTGGTTGGGCTAGATATAAAATAGGCAATACCTTTATAGACCACTAAAAATAATAATGCAATGCAATGTTTCGGCTAGGTTTGTGTGGGTCTATTGACTACCAATTTTAATTGGTGAAAGTCACCCATGTGAGATTGTTTATAGTCTAAGCACCAGTCTTACTGGCTTTGAACCTCTGAGATCAACAATGCAATCTTCTCTAACTCCCAAGGAATGGATTTTAACTAACATTTAATCATCCAGTACATACAACAAGAACGTTAAGGGTTCTAGAAGATTCTCGCTGGTTCAGCTGATGACTTGTTGGGCTGATGAATTACTAGAGGACTGTGGTATAAAAGCAAACCTTGTTTTGCTTTTTTGTGCCTTATACTGGCTTCTCAAGTGTTGTGCACTGGGGTGATGGCACTCAACTTGCTTTAAAGTTTCATGACTAGAGCTTTCTACCTGTCAAATTTAGATGTTTCCTTTTTCTAATAGTGTGATCTAACTCTATTGTTTCCATAGAGTAGGAGCAATTTTTCCCCTTGTAGATTTATCTGGGTGCTGAATGCCTTTTTGTGACGTTTGGATTTTTGCATCCAGGACAGCAAGGAGCCGCTGACATGTCTGCATTTGTTATGATAGCTTAGCTTACTTGTCTGATCCCTGTTTACACTTTTTCAACCGTTAGACTCATTCTCAGAAATCTTTGTTGGCTAAAATCCAGTGGTAAATCACAACTAGATTAGGCCCATTGAGTCCACAGACTCAATCTACATTGGTTTGTGCTTGTCAAACATCATTTTACATGGTTTGTTTACAATTATTTGTTTTTTACAATTATTTGTTTTTTACATCTCAGTGTCTTCCCAGTTGTCCCCCCAAATTCCAGACATCTTTCAAACATTCAAAAAAAATCATTCAGAGTATATAATTTCCTCATTTTTGTTAAAAGTGCGGCAAAGTTAGAAGTCCCCTTGGCTAGGCCCGTGCCCTGTCAATACTGGAAGCCAGTGCTTGAGGTCTGAGGCATGTGTCTGCTTCATGAAAGTGGCAGGTGTGGAGGTAACCACTTCTTTTGGTTTCCCTTTAAACAATCTCTCCTTTTCCCTTTTTTGCATATAAAATTCCTTGCTACTGTATGGGTGATACACTGAAGAACTGCTCCACAGATACTTTGCCTTTGCCTTCTGCCAAAAATGAAAATACTCCTCAATTGGGAATGGACTACCTCAGCAGGTGGTGGAGTGTGCTTCGCTGGAGGCTTTAAAACAATGGCTCAATTGCCATCTGTTACAGATACATTAGCTGTGGATATATAAGCACCCAACTTTGTATTCTGGAAGTGAATCAGACTAAAATGACCCTTCCATCTCTATAACTCTACTATTATTGAATACACAGGAAACTCTGGGATTTCTTTGAGCTTATATCCTGGAATGTTTCTGAGACATTCTATACTATTTTAGGCTGCATTAGGATATAGTCTCCAAACCCCACAAAGTATTAGTTCCCCTCTATTTGGCACTGGTTAGGCCTCATCTTGAGTATTGTGTCAGTTTGAAAGCATGTTAATGCGAGTAGATAAAAAGGTACCACCTCGGTGTGTCTAGTCACGCTGGCCACGTGACCACAGAAACTGTATTTGGACAAATGCTGGCTCTACGGCTTGGAAATGGGAATGAGCACTGCACCCTAGAATTGGACACGACTGGACTAAATGTCAAAGGAACCTTTACCTTTACCTTACACTTCAAGAAGGATACAGATAAACTGGAACAAGTTCAACTGAGGGCAACAAGGATGAACACGGAACTGGAAAATAATGTCCACAAGGAAAGACAGAAAAAACTGGGCAAGAAAAAAAGAAGGTTAAGGAGATATATGATAGTGCTTTTCAAATACTTGAAAGGTATACAGAGGAGAGGCAGGATCTATTCTCAATCAACCCAGAGTGCAGGAAATATGTAATAATCAACTCAAGTTACGGGAAGCCAGATTTAGACTGAATATCAGGAAAAACCTCCTAACTGTTAGAGCAGCATGACAAAGGAACAAATTACCTTGGTGACTGCTCCAACACTGGAGGCATTCAAGATAAACTTAGACAACCAGCTGGTAGGTGCCCTTTGATTTGGATTGCTGCATTGAGCAAGGAGTCAGACTCGATAACCTTATAGGCCCCTTCCAACTTCATTATTCTACGATTCTTTGATGCTGTGTTCTCACTGACCCTCAAGAATACATCAGGGGTTTCCAGAAACTTTCTTAATCAAATGAATGACACATAATAAGAAATCATTTTTCTTCTTCTTCAGATGATCCAACTCATTTGAAGAGTACTTTTGCACATTGTCATAAGCAGCAATAAAAATAAGTCCAAGGCCATAAAATATAACAGCATTAATAAAATGTAAATGGAGCAATATAAAATTAAGTCACAGTTCAATAAACAGCCTTGATATTTCTTTTTTTAAAAATCTCATTCCTAGCCCTTAAGAAAGTAGGCACCAAACAGACCTCCCTGAGGAGAGAGTTCAGAAACCCAAATGCCAAAATGGCTCTGTGTCTAATCACAATTTGACTGAACCTCTCAGATGGGAACATTTGGAAAAGAGGTACTGGTCAAGAATATAATGACTTGGCTGTTTAATAAGGGAACCAATGATCCTTTAGCTATCCAGAGCACAAGCTGTGGGCTTTAATTGTCAACTCCAATGGCTGGGTTTTGTGCCCAGATAGAAATGGAAATGGTGACACATGGTGACCCTGCAGCTTGTTCTGGTCAGCAGTCTAACCACTGTATTCTGCAGCAATGGATATTCCCCAAAAGTCTTCAAAGGTGACCTCATCTACAGTCTTAATTTAGATATTCACAGGCTAAACACAACCATACCAGTTGGGGAGCTCCCTCAAACTGGTAGAAACCCAACATATTGGGGGGCAGGGAGAGAATCCAACTTGTTTTTTTAAAGGAGATAAGATTGCAATTTATTCAGTCTGATCCAAAACAATATTTAGATTGATATGAAAAAAACTATTATGACTGTGTTTTCATCTGCCTATTAGCACCTTCTCTCTTTAGATCCTGATCTCCCTCCACACAAAAATAAATAAAATAAAGTCTTACTTATTGGAAACGGGGGATTGCTGATGTTTGAGGAGAGTCTGAGTCCCTTACTTTTAAGTAGCAAGTTTGCAACCTTTTTGGTGAGTTGTCATGCTTTGTGAGTCGTCAACTTTTGACGACTCATGAAGAACGAAGTTGCCCCCATGAAGTGACGAATAACGAAGGGGGGGTTATTAAACAAACACCTCTGCCCCTGCCACCCCTCC